CACTGCACCATCAGGGCTCCCAGAAATTACTAAAGAAAGCTAAATACCCCACAACATTCCAAAAGATGACAAAATATTGTCCAGAGGTGAGAGAGTAAAGGGGGAAGATTGCCTCTTTTATAGAACAGTTGTGATCATTTGAACTTGAACAAATCATGACTTCCTGTTTTTTAAAAAAAGAAAATAATCAGAAAGGCTTAGGAAAAAATGAGTAAAAACAAAACTAACTAAAAATTTTAAAAAAGGAATAGTCTCTATTTTAGGGTAAAGATTTTTAGGAAATATTAGAAAAACAGTTTAGAAAATATTAGTAAAACATGTTTAATATTTATAGTTGCCAAAGAAAAGGCATTCTGAGGCTGTTCCAAACTATTCACAAGATTGCCTCATGCTTATCAGACTCATTCTTATCTCCTCCTATTATTTCTTCTTCATAGCTAAAACAATAATTTTTCTTTATGACTTAATTTTGGTTCTTACCCAAATCAAGTTCAATTATAATGGATAATCAAACAATTTAAAAGGTAAACAAATTCTCATGTCCTAGAAATAAGTATTTGATTAAAACTTATAATGAAATTTACTAACACTAGTCTCTTAGAGATTGAAAAAAAAATCTTTAATACTTGGCAGACAATAGCCTGGTGTCCAGGGTCACCAACTTGAACTGGGTGAAGCCTCTTCCAAAACCTTTGACCCTCCCTCTCTAAGATAAGAACACAGCTAACACTAACTTCGTTTCTAAGGCAGATAATAGCTGGAGAGATCTCATTTTCCCTGTTCATGACTAATCCATTCACATGTGGAAGAATGGCTTCGCAGCTCCAGTGTGGTCTTGCTCTAAAAATGGGACTCAGTCCTTAAAGTCCCACAGTTGGTTTTGTGCATTTACAAATGATCTGTCTAGTTATCTAGTGCTGCTATAACAGAAATACCATAAGTGGATGGCTTTAACAAATAGACATAGATTTTCTCACAGTTTAGGAGGCTAGAAGTCTAAATTTAGGGCGCTGGCTCTAGGGGAAGGCCTTCTCTCTCTGTTAGCTCGCTCTAGAGGGAGGTTCTTGTTTCTTCAGCTTGTTTCCTGGTTCCTTGGAGATCTCCATGTGCCTTGACATCGATCTTCCCACATCTCTGCTTGTTTGCTTGCTTATCCTAATCTGCTCTTTTTATATTTTGTAAGAGATTGACTGAAGACACATTCTACTCTAATCTTGTCTCATTAACATAACAAAGACAATCCATTCCCAAATGGAATTATAACCACAGGTATAGAGGTTAGGATTTACAACATATATTTTGGGGGGGAGGGGAACACTTCAATCCATAACATGATCCATACTTAGAAAAGAGCATACCTGATTCTCCATATATAGGATCCACTCTCCTACTGGAGCCACCCTCTCTGCTGTGGCCATGGGACTTGTTGGAAATGAAAGACAGTACATTTTAAGAATCTGTAAATTTATAAGTTAAAGAAGAAAAAAGACTATGAGACTAGGAACGAGGCCATGTGCCCAACTCGGGAGCGAGACTCACCAGAGAACTGACCTGCAGGTGCTTGTGCCCCCGCCGCACCCCATGTCCCCGATATTTTTCTCTATCACTTTTTCCATATTTTCCCTTTGCCTTAATTTAGTTAATAAGTATCTTCTTTTTAAAAATAATGCTTTATATCCTAGTATAAAATTAATTGCATTACATTCATACTTAGTAATGCAGTTAATTTTATAATTAATGTATTCATACTTGGGATGAATGTAGTGACCTAACACGTAGCAGAAAATGAGAATTTTTGGTGGAAGGAAGGATGAAGAATGGATAGAGAAATAAATAATTTTATAACATGGGGCACTTTTTACCCCCTAAAGTATTAGTGTTGACAGTGGGAGCTTGTGGCAATTCAGAGCACTTCACCATTGAATGCCAACCACCTGTGAGGTACGGGAGGAGACACAGAAACAAACGCTGCCCAGTTGCTGATCTCAGGAAATTCAGCCCAGAGAAGGAAACAAAGATGCCAACAAATGATTGTCATTAAGTTTGTTAAGTGTCCTGTTCAGGACAGAGCACTAGGTCCAGAGGGTACATTAGGAAGATCTGAGTGGCAGGACAAGAGGTAGCACAGGTGCAGAGAGGAAAGATGCCAGAGACACCTGTGCCCACAGCCAGTTTTGTATCACGAAGGGACTGGAAATCTTTTCCTCTCTTTGACATTCTTCCCTCTATAATTTTTATAGGTAAAAGGCAACTATAAATGATCTCTTCATTCTTAGGACTTTGAATTTGACCAGAAGTAATTTTATAATAATGATTTCATTACATTGCCAACATGGAAAAGTAGGTTCTGTATTCCAAACAATCGCTTAATTAAAAACAAATACTACCTGCTACTTATATTTAAAAGTAATTTAAAAACCCAAAATTTTGCTGTAATTGATTCGTTTTATGTAATTGCATCATTATCATAGGCTAGAATCAGTAGCTAGAAGCTACGGGGAATGAGACATCAGCTGAGTATATGAAGAAGTTCTTAGTGGAACCAGCGGCGTCACTAGGGTTGGTGTCACCCAGGGCGGTAACTCATGGTGTCATCCCCCCCCGCAAAGCCCCCCATGGATCTCCTCCTGTACCAGGCCGTGCAGAATCCTTAGTAATGTTTTTTGTACTAATGTTATCCGTAAATCGTAATTGCTGTATATCACTCCTTCTTTCCCTTAGTCACTTAGTGACACCACTGAGTGGAACCCACTTGATTTGGAATCACAAGGCCTGGGTTCTAGTTCTTGTTTTAGATAATTCACTCAGTCGCTCCAATCCTTAATTTCCTTCTCTGTAAAATGGGCTATGAACAGATTTACCCAGGGATCTTCATGAAGACTCAATAAGAGTTTTTTAAATTCTAAATTGCCACATTAAACTAACTCAATGATATGTGTATGAAGCATTGAAAGGGAGAGTAGGCTGCCTTCCCAGATCTTTGGTTACTAGAAGTGTTAAAATAGAGTTAAGAAGGGGCAGTATAGCATGGAGATGGAAAGCATGGACTCTGGAATCTGGTGGATTTGGGTTTATTATTTTTAACTCTACTGCTTGTTAGCCAGGTGACTCTAGGAAAATTACTTACCCTCTTTAGGCCTGCCTCATTTTGCTCATTTATGTAATGGGGTATTGTAGGGAGTAATTGAGACAGTAGATATCAGTTGTTTGTCAATGCCTGGTGCATAGTTAACTCACTGCCATAGAGTTGATTCCTACTCATAGTGACCCTGTAGAACAGAGCAGGTACATAGTTAGCACTCATTAAATGTAAGCTGTTCATCATGATAATTATTATTACTATTATTATTATATTATTGAAAATTATCATTTAGAGAAAACTTGTAGAGCAGGCTTAAGCATCAAAAAACTGATTGGAAGTGATGATTTGCTAACCATAAGGTTCTATTTTCTATGCTTTTACTATTATGTTTACATTCAAATCTAATACATGCCATTTGTGGATTAAATCTGCATAAAGAATAAAAGTCTATACCCAGTCTACCTGAATCCTTCATTCCCAGTTGGTAGAAGACATTTTGGCATTTTAGGAGCCAGAGATTGGATATCCCCTGGATAAACAGTAACCAGTTGCCGTCAAGTGGATTTCCACTCATGGTGACCCCATGTGTGTCAGAATAGAACTTCGTTTCATAGGGGTTTCAATGGCTGATTTTTTGGAAGTAGATCTCCAGGCCTTTCTTTCTGGGCACCTCTGGGCGGACTTGAACCACAAGCCTTTCTGTTAGCAGCTGAGCGAGTTAACCATTTGCACCTTCCAGGGATCTCTATTCCTTGAATAGAGCCCATAATAAGTGTAGGGAAAAGCTGCATTTGCCAGAGATTGAGAACAAGTCCAAGAATATACTAGAAAGTAAAACTTTTTCTTTCCTTTGCCTCTCTCTTTGACCCTCTTCCCTTACCCATCAGCATATACACCAGAGCAGGGTGTTAATCCAAGGGAATTTTCAGTTTCTGGGCTGGGCAAAGGAGATGTTTCTCAGAAGGGGTCTCATGGAGCTCTTTGCTGTACTAAATCCATCCTTCCCACACCTTGTTTGTGCCAAGAGTAGTAAACTCTGGGCACCATATTGGTTTGATAGCCTGGAGCTACACACCACCCACCAGTACCCCACGGGCTCAGTACAAACTGAGCCCAGTTGGGGAGAGTGTGTTGGCATGTTGACTGTTTGAAAATCAGAAAGAAGAATCAGCCTCCTGTGTGAAATTTACTTTTAGTAAGTTTTGGGCATAAATTTAGAGAATTATAAGCTGAAGAAAAAAATATAGACAGCATATATTAAATACTGTGTGCTAAAATATTCTAAAATGGTTCAATGGGTTACTTATTTTTAAAATGCAGATACAATTATGAAGATTTTATTTTTATTCATTTGTATTACTCTGAATTTGGAAGCCCAGCAAATGCAAAGTGGTTCATTAGTTGAACTCTACTGTAATTACTAAAGCTAATGAGAACAATATTTTGAATGCCAAAGCCAATTTATCAGCTACTTCTTGTAACAGAACAATTTATGTGTTTTTTCAGAGGAAGTCTTCAGTGCCTACTCTGCTCTGTGGTGGTCTCCAAACGGCACTTTTTTAGCATATGCCCAATTTAACGACACAGAAGTCCCGCTTATCGAATACTCCTTCTACTCTGATGAGTCACTGCAGTACCCAAAGACAGTGCGGGTTCCATATCCAAAGGTCTGTGCTCCTATCCGCGTAGTGGTTCAGTGATTTGATAGGAGGAGAATGGTTTCATTTAAACCCTTCCTGCTAATGAAAATATTGTCAGTCTCTCTTCAACAGCTTGCTGTGATTACTCTTGCTGAAGTCAACAGCATCTGGCAATTTTTAAGTATTTTTATTATCCCAGGAAAGAGTGTGATTTAAGGTTTTGTAATTTCTCCAAAAACTTTGAGGAATGACAAGCAGAAAAAGATGAGAGAAATGCTTTTGAAAGAGGTAGGGGGAATGAAAATATTTGAGTGGAGGAGAAGAGAGGCTGTAGCTGAATCAGAAGCTTACCTCATGTGCAGGAGGTGGAATGGGCACTAGATAAGGTTGAAAAGCTTGGTTGTACATCACATTGTATTGCTAATTAGCCAGCTACCTGACTAGTTTTTAAAAACCCATTAAAACCCATTGCCGGTTAAGTGGATTCCGACTCACAGCGACCCTATAGGGCAGGGTAGAACTGCCCCCTAGGGTTTCCAAGGAGCGGCCGGTGGAGTCAAACGGCCAACCTCTGGGTTAGCAGCCAAGCTCTTAACCACTGCGCCACCAGGGCTCCTGACTAGTTTTAGTGGTTCAATTACAGATTTGCCACTAATGTAAATTTTGCAGGTCCCACAGTAGTGTCATATCTCGATTGTCAAGGCTGTTTGCCCCTCTAGGGTGCGCATTTATTAAAATTGAAGAGCTGTGTTAACCAGTGTAAGCCAGGAAAGAGGGGGATTTAGGAGAGAACCAAGGGTTCTTCACTAGGACCGTAATAAGGACAGCCACAGTATGGTCTGTCGGAAAATCTAACAGTAAAATGTTTTTGCTGCAAACAATTTGGGAAAAGGGATTTTTATTTTTATCAACTCAATCAATTTGCTTTATGAAGAGTTGCCATTTTAGGAAGACATTGGAAGTTAAAAGAAATCAGAGACTAAATATGGAGATGTGTTTGTCAGTGGAATGTTATATTTTGAAGAGTGGAACTGGCAAAAAAAAACCAAACATAAAATGTTCTCACTAAAAATACCATATTATTTCAAACTAATCTGTCAATCGAAGATTTATTATGACAAAAATATATATTGTATATTTAAAGGGGTTTTATAGATTTTTGTCATAATATTGATTGTAAAGCTCCAATATGGTGAACTGAACTTGGAGTAAAAATTATAGCTTCATAATTTGGAACATTGGCTATTGGCTCAGATAAACGAATTTTCCTGGTGGATTGTGTCTTTCACTGAACTCAAGGTGTTCTTCATAACGACTGGCCATCAAAGACCTCTTGTCTTGTGGAGTCAAGCTGTATTTGAAAATAATAGAATTGATTTCAAGAAGTTTATCCTCTCTTGCATAAAGTACAAAATTATGAACGTTTCATTATTTAAACAGGAGTGCTGTGGACTTTAAGTAATACATGTTTTTCTCCCTGAATGTAAAAAGGCCGCGTTTCTCAACTCTTGCATTCATTTTATTTAAATTGTTTGAATGTGTCTGGTTGCTAAAATTTATGACCGTAATGCAGACAGTATTGTAGTGATGTTATTTTTTTTACAAATACTAATCTCATGATTACTTTCTCCTAGGCAGGAGCTGTGAATCCAACTGTAAAGTTCTTTATTGTAAATACAGACTCCCTCAGCCTAACCACCAATGCAACTTCTGTACAAATCACGGCTCCTACTTCTGTATTAGCCGGGTAAGACTCTTGACTGAATGCTTGGGTTGCAGGCAGTTTCATAGTTCCCAGGGAGAACATTCTAAAAATGAGTAGCAGAATCCATCGCAGCCTCTCATACTGTCACCCTGTGCTGGCAGTCATTCATTCTTTCATTCAGCAACTTTTTGTTGATGAGGATTCTTAATGAACAAAGCAGATAAGTCCCTGGTTTCATGGAGCCTATGCTGTAGTAGGGGCAGGCAGGCAGTAACCAGGTAAACAAAAATATAAATGTCAGGTGGTGAAAAACGTTGTGAAAAAGACCTAAAGCAGGTTAAAGGGGAATAGAGATGGTGGGGGGGTAGTCAGGGAAGGCCTCTCTGGTAAGATGACCTGTGAGAAGAGATGGAGAGCTGGGGCCACAGAGGAAGAGCAAATGCAAAGACTCTGCAGAGAGCCGTGTTTGGTGTAGTAGAGGAACAGCTGGGAGGCCAGGGTGACTGGAGCAGATCATGGTATTCTGCCATGGTAAGGCTTAGAGAAATCCAGGGGAACTGTGGATTAACCTGTGACACCGGTGTGCCTCAGGATGTCACTTGCTTAAATAATCCTTAGTGGTTTGAGATTCTTCCATCAAGTACCTCCAGCGCCTAGTTGATTTTCCTGTAAACATAACCACCATATTGGGTGCAATGTATGGCCATTAAGTAGCTCTTTATTGGTTTTGTTTTAGTGTTTAAATAACAACAACTAGTGCATTTTGGGAGTCCCTGGGTGATGCAAATGGCTAATGTGCTTAGCAGTTAACCAGAAAGTTGGAGGTTCAAGTCCACCCAGAGATACCTTGGGAGAAAGGCCTGGCAATCTACTCCCAAAAAATCAGCCATTGAAAACCCTACAGAACGCAGCTCTTCCCTGACACATGTGGTGTCTCCATAAGTTTAAATTGACTTGATGGCAACTGGTGGGCTTTTTTTAGCACACATTAAGCACTCACTATGTACCACTATGTACTCGGCACAGGGCATTATCACATGCTTCATCTTACTAATCATTAAAATAACTCTGTCTTTATAACAGCTGTTACTATATGCCTGTTTTACAGATAAGAAAATGAAACCTAGATCTTAAGAAAATGACCAAGTGGGAGTCTTTATTCAAATCTGTCTTTCTAGCTTGAAAGAAAGAGCTATTGAGCACTGTGCCATGCGCCTCCCCGTGTGAGTTCAGCTAGTGCCCACACAGCCCTGTAGGGAACATCAGAGCAATATGGAAGCATCTCCTTTCCCTGGGGTTGCATTACCTATATCAGGCACACTGTAGGTTTTGTTCTGTGGTTATTCATTTATTGACTTGGTCAGAAATATTTATATTTACCTATTCAGTCCAGGGCAAAATTAGCATCAGTAAAGTTTTTTTTTTTTTTTTTCTCTCCTATGGTTGTCCAAGAGTATAAAAATGTACCCAGAGGTTCTAAAATTGCTCTTTGGTCCCCTCCGGCCATCTCTTCAACTACCATTGGTTGAGCATCCACTATTTATATTCACAAACATCCCTAGGGCTGGACCTTTACCATGTTAGCACTTATAATTAAGTGGAGGATGTAAACTCTTCAGATCAATGACTCCAAGACTGAATATGACTTAAGGTCACACAGAAGGTTAGCGTGGGAGCAGGGACTAGGACAGAGGCCTGCAAACTGCCAGACTAGAATATTTGAATAATGGATATAATTTTTATTGAACAGTGACTATGGGCTGAGACTGTGCCTTGTGTTCTGCTTGTGTTATCTCATTTATTCCCCACAAGTACCTGTGGATCATTTTACAGATGAAGGAAAAAAATCTTGCCAACTTAAAAATCACTTTCCAAAGGAACAGTTGTGAAGTTCTGAGCTCAGGAAAATTAAACAAATCTAAGAGCTTGTTTTTCACCCTATCTGAATTAATCATTAAGTCTTCGCTCTTTGTGGTTCCTTACCCTGCACTCATGGGGAAGGCAGCCTCACTCACTGTGGATGTTCTGTGTTGAATGTATTTTACCAAAGAATCTCTTCTGGAAATGCCTCAAGAATGTGTTTTATAAGGTATTTAAAATACCGCTCTGGTCTCTGTTAACATCAGCAAGGTTGCGGTTTTGCCAAAACCAGGCTCTAGGTCCTCTGTAGGAAAATGTTCTAGTACATGGTGATGCACCATTTTCTGGCCACATGCAAAGATCCAGCAGTGCCAAGCTGATCCAGGCAAGTTTTGCCTTTTAGGAAAATGCCCAGCACCTTCTGTTTTGTTGTCTGGTAATTCACTATTTCCTGCAATATGAGACCTTACAGGATCCGCATGTTTCTTCCTTCATGTGCTTGTGCTCCTGTGTTAGTTACCCTTAGTCTATGTCGTTTCTACACAGAACTTCCAACAAGTAAACTCCTGTAGGAGGATAAGGCTGATTTGTCATTTTGCTAGGAATGAGCAGAAATGGGGAATGTTGCTCCTCTGAAAACAAGTGGAAAGGGGATCCAGTCCACTCTTCCAATAGTCCAAGTTGAACCCTGAATCAAGGCATGGCCTCCTTGCCACCTTGCTTGATTTGGTACTAAATGAATAGATAAATCGATGAATGAATGGATGGATGGATGAGGTGGGTTGTACATGTGACTTTCTGTACGTGGAATAGGAGTTCACAGAGCCAGTACCAAAGATAGCCTTCAAAATGACCTTACATAGCAACCCCCCTTTTCTACCCCCTCCCAGCGATGTACTCATTCTGTGGCCTGAAGCTGAAGGATTGGGGAGAGTATGTTCTACTGAGGTAACTCTACCCAGTATTTACTGAATGGCTCCAGATGCCCCTCACACCCAGCTCATGACGTGCCTCACCCCTATTATCTCTGTTTGGGAGGGACATAATAGCTGAACAGTCTTTGTAAGCCTCTTCAGAACAGTTGATGATGACCCTTGGTCTGGAAAGTAGGCACATCAGGGCCTGAGGTTGTCACTCATCACTACCCACTGCCATCAAGTAGATTTCAACTCGTAACGATGCTATAGGACAGAGTAGAACTGCCCCCATAGGGTTTCCAAGGCTGTAAATCTCTGCAGAAGCAGTCTGCCACATCTTTCTCCCTTGGAGCCTCTGGTGGTTTTGAACTGCTGACCTTTCGGTTAGAAGCCCAGCTCTTTAACCATTGCTCCACCAGGGTTGTCACACAGGAGATAAATAAATGAAACTGAAATATCCTGGAAGGTCAGTGACACCTGCTATTTAGCAAGAAAGGAGGCTAGATTAGGGGCTTGCCACCTGTGGGGGCTACATCCTTCAGATATGCTCAGTCTCACCCCAACCATTCCTCTCCTCAGCTATCTGACTGTCAGGGGACCCAGAAGGTTGGCATCCCGATCAGAGCAGAGGGTGGCATGGAGCCCAAGGCCAGCACTGGCAGTACACCCTCTTCCTCAAGTGATTCACTGAATTAATCACTCCAGGGTCTGCAATTGCTCTTAGTAGCATATTTCTCTCTAATATTCCTTCTAGTTAGTAAATGCAGTTCTCATTTTAAGTATACTTAATGTACCAAAGGAGCCCTGGTGGTGCAGTGATTAAGAGCTATGGCTGCTAACCAAAAAAAAGGTCGCCAGTTTGAATCCACCAGCCACTCCTTGGAAACCCTATGGGGCAGTTCTACTCCGACCTGTAGGGTTGCTATGAGTCAGAATTGACTTAACGGCAACAGGTTTTTTGTTTTTTGTTTTTTTTTTGGTTTAATATACCAAAAGAAACATTTATACGACTTTATAGAAATCAGGGGAATTAATATCACCCAAAGCATTGTGCTAAGGCAGGCAAATCACCTTACAAAGGGATTTCCCCATAATTTGATTTTCAAAAGCAGGTCTCTCTTAGTGAATTCAAATATGATTTGCTTTATAAAATTCATTTACGCACAACTCTCTGGGAATAAATAGATTTCACTGAGTGAAAAATTTTATGCTTAAAAGAAGCAAGAGAATTAAGGTAGCTAATAATGTTTAACAAAGCGATGAATGAAAGTTCTACAGAGGCGGTATAACATAGTGACTAAGAACATGACCCCTGAAGGCAACTGCTGGGTTTAATCTTGACTCCCCCACTGACCAGTTGTGAGACCTTGGGTAAGTTACTTAAGCTCTCTGAGATTCAGTTTCCTTGTCTGCAAAACATGAACTATAACAGTACCTGCCACAGAGAGTGGTTGTGAACTTTCTGTAAAGCGCTTAGAACAGTTCCTGGCACATAGAAGGCTCCACATGAGTGTGAATTCCTATAATTATGTCCAGAAATTATTCCATTGCTTTAGTATTAAAATAAACCACATTAAATATCCTTGGACTAGTCCAGTTCTAGTAGTTAGAAGAGCTGATTGAATCACTGTGACTAACCTGAGATAAGCAGTCACAGGCTTGAGAGAGGTCACGCTGTCTGCCTTCCCTCTCTCCCTCTCCATCAACCATTATGTAACAAAAGTCTACTCAGTATTTGCCTCTCTGTTTTTGCAGAATAAAATTGGCATGTAGTACAAAGCATATTTATAATTCTGCTTGTTGGATTTTTCTGGTCTTAAGTGGGGCCTTACACCTCTCAGTAAAATGTACAATCGAGCTGTTGATTTCCTTATTATCTTTTTCATGGTTCATTGACATCGCAGCCTGGTCTGAGGTCAGCTCAGGGCTGGGTTATGCAGCCCCATTCTGTCCCCCCTTAATTCCTAATCCTTGAGAAAAACTCAGTTGAAGAAAGGTATGTTTCTAAGAACATTAGAAAATTACTGAACGTTCCATTGGTAACCTGCCTTTATTGAGTACCCACAGGGTACAGAGTACATCCTGAGCTGTGGAGAATGACAAAGGTAGTGGAGGATACAAGTTCATTAACCTTTGATCTAGGAGGGGGGCAGGGAAGATGCCTGCTACATGTGAGTTTCCTGGCTGACTTCCCAGATTCCAGTACTCAAGGTTTTCAAATGGGGAAGAGTTACTTTTATATTGTTGGTGTCTGACCCTGAAGTATAATTTCTGGCATATAGTAGATAAAGCAGGGAGCCCTGGTAGTGCAGTGGTTAAGTGCTCAGCTGCTAACTGAAAGGTTGAAGGTTTGAACCTACCAGCAGCTTCACAGGAGAAAGATGTGGCAGTCTGCTTCCGTAAAGATTATAGCCTTGAAAACCCTATGGGGCAGTTGTACTCTGTTCTGTAAGAGTCGCTATGAATCGGAATCAACTCAATGCCAACGGGTTTTAGTAGATAAAGCTACTTAGTCCGGGGTGACCCCTTAAACACTTTAAAAGTTCTTCTCCCCCCGCCGCACCACTCCACCCCCCTAACTAGAACACTTGAACAAACGAGAAGGGTATTTCTGGAGCGCAGGTTCCTAACTTATGTCCATGGAACCCTCGAAAACTGTGCATGCGTGTGGGAGGCATTTTTTTTCCTAGAGAGAGGTACATAATTGTTATCAGATTCTCAAAGGGTTTTTGACCTTAAAAAAATAAATAAATAAAATAACCCACTGGTGTAGAGCAAGGTGAGCGCACCAGAGCCTATGGGCCAAATCCAGCCTGCCACTTGTTTCTATATGCTCCTCCAGTAAGAGCAGTTGTGAGACCTTGGGCAAATTACTGAAACGCTCTGCTCTTCAGTTTTAAGTGGTCCAAACAAAATAAAAAATAATAATATAATATTTCATCACCTGTGAAAGTTACATGGAATTCAAATTTCAGTGTTTTATGGGAGCACAGGCACATTCATTCGTTGATGTTATCTGTGGCTGCTTTTGGGCTACGGCGGCAGAGCTGAGTAGTTGTGACAGAAAACGTGTTTTGTCTAAAATATTTACTATCTGGCCCTTTATTGAAAATGTTTGCCAACCCCTGGTCTAGAAAATTAATTTCAAAAAGCTTCATTATCTATTATGCTTTTCATCATCCGTTCCCCTTGCAAGTATTTATTATCTATCCTGGGTAAGATTTATTTGCCTTTGCATTTTCTCATTTAACTCCTTGGCATTGGGTTCAATGCAGAAGAGTCAGATGAGACAAGTGTGCCCCTGCTCCTGGGCATATGAAGGAAGGAGCAGTCCATGCTCAGAGCCTGCAGCCTGGCAGCTTGTGATAAACACCGTAAGACTGGTGATGGGAGTGCAGAAGGAGGGGGTTTTCCAGAAAGTATCATGGACAAAGGGACATTTGAGCTAAGACCTAAAGAAGTTGGAGAGTGAGAGTGGTTTCAGATTGGAGGGCAAGATTGAACAAAAGGGGGGTGTGGTGTTTTGGGAATCTTCATGGGGTGTTTGAGGCTTACCAGCCATTGAGACAAGACAATGTATAGGTTTGTATTTTTCTAAATTTTATTGTAGTAAAATATATGTAACAAAACACTGCCATTTTAACCATTTTTAAGTACACGATTCAGTAACATTAATTACATTTACCATGTTGTGCAACCATCGCTACTCTCCATTTCCAAATGTTTTTCATCATCATAAACAGAAACTCAGTACCCCTTAATCAATAACTCCCTGTTTCCCCCTCCCCCAGCCCCTGGTAACCACTAATAAGCTTTGGTCTCTATGCATTTGCCTAGTCTAGATATTTTCTATAAGTGAGATCATACAATTTTTATCCTTTTTTGTCTGACTTATTTCACTCAGCATAGTGTTTTCAGCGTTCATCTGTATTGCAGCATGCATGAGAATTTCATTTCTTTTTAGGGCTGAGTAAGATTCCATTGTATGGATATACCACGTTTGTTTATCCATCTGTTGATGGACACTTGGGTTGTTTCCACCTTTTGGCTATTGTGAATAACACTGCAGTAAACACTGGTGTGCAAGTATCGGTTTGTATTTCTGCCTTCACTTCTGGGTACAGACCTAGGAGTGGTATTACTGGGTCATATGGTAACTCTATGTTTAACTTTTAGAGGAACTAGTGTATAGGTTTTTAATAAATAGGAAAAAGGACTGGAATGGAGATGAGTCCATATTTGTGGAAATGCTGTGCTTTGGTGCCCCGTGAAAAGGGTGTCAGCTTTCAGTACAGCTGTCATGTGGGGCGGGCAGCATGGAGGCCCAAAGACCCCAGCCCTCTAATCCATTCAGTGCCCTCAGCTGTCAAAACAGGTAGTGAGGGGAATTAAAGTGTTTTGCCCTGAGCCCGATCCATCCCAAGTTCTCAAGTATTTAGTGTCTGTGAAGGTAGTGTGGATATAGGAAGTGATCTGTGAATTCTGAGGAAGGACAGAACTATTTGGGACACAGAAATCGGGAAAGGATTTTTTCCTTCCTTCAGTGCTTCATTCCACAGACACTGACTGAGTCTGTATTTGTGCCAGGCGTTCTGCTTCGCCCTGGGGATACCCCTGAGAACAAGACAGATGTGGACCCTGTCCTCAGAGAGCTTGCAGCCAAGCAGGGATCGCAAAATGTCAAGAGGAGAGGTGGAGCGCAGGTTGTGGAGGGAATAGCATAGAGAGAGAAGCCTTTTGGAGTAGGGGGTGAGGGTTGGGGAGGGAAGATATGGCCATGAGACTAGAGTAGGGAGGCGGATATAAAGAAATATAAGGTACAAGATTCCTTTGGAATCTTCTGACAAAAGGGAGGAAGCCTTTAAGTAAACACCGGAGAGGAGTGATTTAAGAATAATCACTCAAATTCACACTGAGAGGAAAACATAAAAAGCTATCCAGAGCAAATAATGTTAGGACTCAAGCAGAAAAGTAAATGATGAATTCCATGCATTTTGCTATAAATCAGAAAGTGGTTCCAAAAAATTTTTTAAAGGTATGTGCTGGGGGAACATGCAATGCTAGAGATATCGCTACTTGTATAAATTTATGTTAAAATATCACAGGGTTCCTTTAATTTCATCACATGGTTCGTGTTTTGACTCTTGAGAACAGTTTTTTAGAATATAATTCTTCGTTTTTCAAAGTCTGTGAAAGTGTGAGTCAATTTTTTCTCCGTTTGAAAATGAAGTTGAGAAAAAGGTCAGCCGTAGTTTCATCCTAACAGGAAAAATTTCCTAGAGGAGCATGTCAAATTACCAGAAAATACTCACATCTCAGCAAGTGCCCTTGGCCTCACTGCACTGTTCCTTTAAGACAGCAGAAAGGAGATGGGAAGACACCACCCTTGACTACATGGCACAGCAAAGGCCAAGTTGAGGGCTTGATCAATCCTGCGTACGTGGTTGGAGTCACGTATAGAATGTTAGCTACTGTTTTTCCTGTTAGATCTACTTTAATTTCCATTCAAAGTTGAACTGCACTTTAAGCTTTAAGGAAAGGTGAATATTATGGTATTAAATGATTTCAACAAACATTTAAATTGTGTGTCCCATTAAGATTGATTTCATGTTACGGAGTAAAATTTCTGTATGTACCAATGTCTAGAAATAATTTTTTTTCTTCATTTCCTTCCTTCCTCCTTCTCTTCCTTCCTTCTTTCCCTCCTTTTCTTTTCTTCTTTCTTCCAGGGATCATTACTTGTGTGATGTGACTTGGGTAACCCAAGAAAGAATTTCTTTGCAGTGGCTCCGGAGGGTTCAGAACTATTCTGTCATGGATATCTGTGACTATGATGAATCCACTGAAAATTGGACATGCACAGCGGTAAGATTGAATGGAGACGTCTGCTTCTAAAGCGACATAGGATCAGAGCGCTCTATGAGATCAGGGAGAAAAATGAATGTTGGGAATCAGGAAATGAGGTTTGAGACTCTATTCTTTCTGATTCTGTATCTGATCTATAGGAAGTGGGTAAGTCATGACTAACTTTTAGATAATCTGAAATCTGGTGGTACTTGTATTTCCCCTTTACTCACTAGTAATACTGTTTTAGTTATAGATGCTATCACTGGGAAGGGGAGTGATTAGAAACCCAGAAGATAGAACCTGATGTCAAAATTCAAAAAGTCAAAGAGGACCAGGGACCGCAGGTCAATGAAGAGTGTTTCCATAGAGAAAATACATGGAATGAGGAATGATAGATGAACAGGCTATAAATCATTACTATACTGTGACTATTTTAAAGCAGTGAACAGCTTTAGAATTTAAATTGATAACCACCAGTCTGTTTTCAGATGGTGGCAACATTGAAACAAACTTAAATGTTAATCCTACCTTGATGTGCTGGGAGTTTCTGGCCAGGAGACTAGGAGGTCTAGCCAGGCTGCTGGAGCAGGATTAAAGGCCCTTTGGGAGCCTGTGGGTGTGTCTTAGACTCCCGTCTGCCTTAGAAAAGGTGGAACCTTGTAGAAGGTCGCACATCACAAGGACACCTCGGCAAGCTGCCTTTCCTGGTGATGGGCCCTGTGCCTAAACACCTTCCCTACCTGCTCCCATCCTGGTTGGACACAGGGCAGATTCTCACCTCAGAAAATCTAGCACCCCATAGCTTGATTCGTTCATTTATTATGCCTATTTTTGAATGCCTATTATGTTCCAAGGAGCCCTGGTGGCACCGTGGTTAAAGTACTCTGTTGCTAATCAAAAGGTTGGAGGTTCAAACTCACCATCCACTCCTCAGGAGAAAGATGTGGCAATCGGCTTCTGTAAATATTACAGCCTTGGAAGCCCTGTGGAGTGGTTCTGCTCTGTTCTATAGGGTCGCTATGAGTTGGAATCAACTCGATGGCAACAGGTATTATGTTCTAAGCTCTGTGCTAAGCTCTGGATACAAAAAAAGATGAATCGGTCAGCATGCCTGTCTACAAAATGTTTATGTTCTAGTATGGAATGCCTATCTGAAAATAAGTAATAATAGTTACCATTTATTCAACACTTAAAGCATGCCAGGCACAGTGGAGATAGGCAGTGAGGCTAAATGCCTTGCTCAGGTAATGTGACACAGCCTGAATTAAAACCAAAAAATACAAGCTCTTTGCTTCCTGCCAATTAAATCACTGTAATATCAGGGTATTGTACCATAAAAGAGTATAATCAAGGTACAGAGGGAATGTAGGGCAAAAGAAGATGATTAACTCTATTGGGAGCAGGTGGAATAGAGCAGGGACGTGGCATGGGAGAGATATGGAGCTGTCTGGATAAGTTGCACTATGCTAGCAGACAAGGGCAAGAAGACAATATAAGAAGATGGCTGTGCAAAGGCGTGGTGGGGAGGGAAGTAGCTTGGAGCTTGCAGGGACTATGGGTACAGATGACTAGGGGTTGGGGGAGAGACACAGTAGTGAGGCCTGGGTGCCTTTCTGAGGAGTTTGAACTTATCTTGTAAGAAGCAGGGAGCTTTTCAAAGTTTTAAACAGTAGGGCATTTTAATGAGATTTACTTTTTTAAAAGTTATATCAGTTGCCAACTTGGGGTTAGCTGGGAGCTGGGCAGGGCTGGGCAGCAGACTGGAAGGAGAGAATAGCAGCAGAGTTTCCAGTGAGGAGAATATGGCAATGGGCCAAGGGAGACCCACGGGGATGTGAACTAAGGCAGCAGCAGTGGAAGAGGACAAGAGAAGCCTAGGAAGTAGACAACAGGAGCTGAGAAGTGACTGTGAGAAGAGTAAGAGTCTAGAATGAGTCCTGGGTTTCTAGCTTGGGTGAATGGGAGCCACTAATTAGGACAAGCGTGAAGGAGGAAGAGTGGGCTGGTAGGGATGGAGGAAAGACAGTGAAGTTATTTTCAGTGGAGAATTTAAAGGGCCAGTGGAGCTTCCAGGGCAGTCTATGGTCCTGCAGTCAGGACAGAGCTCTAGGTGAGAGATGTAAAGGCTCTCATGTACTTACATAAAGATAGTAACATAAATAAAAATAGATGAATGGAGATAGTGTTCATTTTTGCTTCTATTATCATAAACTGTTGCTAAAGGAAAGAATTCATCATCTCACTTTTCTTTGAAACACTGTCATTGTCTTTTTCCCTCCCTAGGCACGGCAACACACTGAAACGAGTTCTACTGGCTGGGTTGGAAGAGTAAGTATTTAAGAGTTATGGGATTTTATGTAATATAAGTTAGATACTCAGAGCTATTTAATATATAGATGATCACAACTAAGGCCCTATGTAACTGGTTGTTAATGGAAATGTTAGTTGACCTAGTTCTCAAAATATTTAAAGGATACCTGTAGAGATATCTTTTTATGGAGAATGTATAACATATTTAGTTGGAAAACATGAGGGAACAAGTGAAAGATCAAAAGAAGAACAAATAAAACACTTCCTGGGCAAATTGTAGCTCTCAGTAAGTTAAAAAGCAACCATTGCTGAAAGGCATCCAAGATACAGAATGTGCTCATTGACCTCATATTTGAAGTTATGTGCTTTAGAGGCAGAAAACACAGTTTCCATCCACAGCCTGCACAAATGCCTGAGGAGATGTAATTACCTCCGGCAGAAACTCAGCGGCATACACACAACACTGGCTACGCGACTATCTTTGGAGAAAATCATACTCGTGTGGGTTCACACTTTGCTAGGCACCCAGATGCAGAACTTTATCCAAGAAAGTGCGGTGACCCTCCGATATGACTCATGCTTTTCCCTCCCACTGTGTTACACAATGGGTAGAATACTAATCATGTTACTACAAGCCCATGGAATGAAGCAAGCCCAGTGAAGGAATTCCAGCCATCATGTCACATTGTGTGGAAGATAAAGTCTCACCTAATTCTTACGACCATTTCTATTTTAAGCTGTCTTTAAGAGGGGGAAAAAGTGGCACGTAAAGATTTATATATTTCTTGAGTCATAGAAGTGAGGCCTCCTGGTCTAGGTACACAACCCCTTCCAGCTGGGCTCGGAGCTCTGATAGCATTTACATGTCCTTTTTCTTCAGGCATTGATTGGGCAGAGGGGAGAGGTTTGCCAACATGAAAAGTGGTTTCCTCCATGGCAAGAGACATGCTACACTTCCTCACGACTCTCCGAAAAAAATATGTTTTTTCCTCTCTGTATTTAACCAGACAGATGCCACTTTTCACACATTTCTACTAGGCACAACTCCATCCAGGGGAAACAGGGAAATGTATTAAAAAGATAAGGCTGTGAACACAGGTCTAGAGAGGGGAATGTGTTTCAGAGCTCTGTAATGAGAACACCAAGTGTACTGCACGCCTCAGCTTGCTCCATAAATGAATTCGCTTTGAATCACTAAATAGAAAAGGGAAGCATTTTTCTTCCTTCCCAAAATGGGAGCTTGATAAGAGAGGAAACATTGAGGGCGAAGTGAACCAACAATTTTAAAAGACCATCTCTTACCTGCTCCCAAATGTAGCAAGGAAGTCGAAACCGTAAAGCGACATATTCCTTTCAGGCAGGGAAGGCACTGTTCTGCTTAAACAACAGAATACTCTGAGTACTCTCTCTTATTGAACTGTAAAAAATGGAAATTTGGTTCTATATTTCTATACAACTGTTTTTAATAAATTGTTGAGCATATTTAACAAAATGAAGAGGCTTATAATAAAAATGATAGCTATGTGAATGCTTCCATTTGAAATATATGACAGACATTCTTTATGGAAACTGGTCCAAAAATGGTTAAAGACTTAAGTTTGACTTTCAAAAAGAAATGCATATAAAGAACAGAAAAAATAAGATAAAATTCCCCCTTCCCCCAATTACAAACCATCTCTAACCTGAAACTGTCAAAAAAATAATGATGGTGTGTTTCAGTCAAGCCCATTTGTGACATTGAGGGAATGCACTTCTTGAAACTGAACGGCTAGTACTATTTTTTGAGCACTTATAGTCAGAAGCCCTAGAGTTACCCTCCATAAGGAGAAACTGTCTAGGAATAACAGTAGCCACTTATATTTATTGAGTGCCCTGCTCCAGTGGGGAGCCTCTTAAGGTGCATTCTCTTGCTTATGCCTCACAAAAAAGGTCCTGTGAGTCAGGGTTTTTTCCTCCCTTTTTTATGGAAGGAGAATTTTCTTTTGAAACACTCATTTCATTTGGCAAGCAAACGAAACATGGGTTTTTGAGCATAGGTGTTAGAAAGGACTTTCTAAAACTAAAGTTGCTACTGAGACAAGACTAATTTGCTTTAATGTGGTTTTTGTTTCCCATTCTTTTCTAGTTTAGGCCTTCAGAACCTCACTTCACAGCTGATGGTACTAGCTACTACAAGATTATCAGTAATGAAGAGGGCTACAAACACATTTGTCATTTCCAAATAGATAATAAAGTGAGTATTCTACATAATTTAGTTCAGGTTGGTCCTTTTGTCTGAAACTCACTTGAAGTGGAAATTATTTGGTAAATTTGATCAATGTGTACAAATAATTCAGACTAATTCAAATTCCTCAATGGCATATGGGGTGGGATGGGTTAGAGACCCAGCAAGAAAACTCAAGGTTATCTGAATTCCTGATACAAATTATTTATTTCTCCACTTAACTTTGATTAATCTCTTTTTTAAAAACCCTGCCAGGACTGCACATTTATTACAAAAGGAGCCTGGGAAGTCATTGGGATTGAAGCTCTTACCAGTGAATACCTGTGAGTATTCAAATAATCTATAGGATATAAACCTTCTTGTAATCACGCCCTCTTTGCCCAGAAGTAGGGAAAAATCTCCTACAAATAAACAGTAGTCTATTTGGAACGTGTTCAGTACTTTTTCTCTTTAACATACGGAAGCCTTAATGATTTTCACATATGCTTTGCAGATTTGATATCATGCCACAAACAGCTCTACCTCCTGCTCTTACCTGCTTTACCTTACAGGGCTGTAGCCTCTTTTCCTTGAATGTGAAATACTGAACTAGCATTCGGGGGCATTTTCTTAGAGTTCCTCTGGCACTGAGTTCTTGGAAGTCTTATGAAAGCTATTTTGTCTATCCATGTCTCGGCCTTACCCTTTGGAAAATGGAAATCTTTGCAGAGGCTTTCGACTACATTAGTAAATGGAAAAAAGTTATTTTTTAAATTAGAATTTGAGATACTTTTATAATTTTTATTGGTTTCACTATGGTAGAATTTTGCCACTGGCCGAAATAGTTCTTAACGGACTTCTTTAGAAGTGGCACTGCCACTGCCAGGTAGAACAGATTCCTGCCCTCTAGGAGTTTGTATTATAAAACAGGAAATACAGAAAATGGCATAGAAGAGGATGTCTCAATTTCAGGTTAGCTGTACAATCATATTTTTTTCATACAAAAGGCTCTTTTTGAGTTTTTATTTGTCACTTTAATTAAGGGCGAAATTCCTGCTTTCATATGTTTTAGTCTGTCAAGAAAAAGAATCTCCTGTTTAGAGATGATGGGAAAAGTGGCCTTTGTCTTGAGAAGTGGGGATGCGGGGGATCCAAGTGCGCTAATGCTTGATGTTTGAGTGAAATGGAATGCACTTGACTTTTTAAAAAAATGTAATTAATATATACTTTATTTTCTTCTCAGATACTACCTTAGTAATGAACATAAAGGAATGCCAGGAGGAAGAAATTTGTATAAGTAAGTGCTCTATTAAGTTGTTGACTTGAGTCTTTTTAGCTGATGAACAATTTCTGGGCTCTTATTTCCTTGTCCTAGCTCATATTGAACTGGGATTGCTCTTGAATGCTTTTATTCCTTTATAAATCAGTCTGCATGTCAACAAAAAAGAGAATGACGTATTAGATGTTTTGTGATATTGAAAACAATGAGACATTTAAGGTCATTACAAATTCTTTATGTATTTCTTCCGCATTAAAAAAACAAAGGCTTTTGAGGATTGCTTTGGCATTCTGAAATCTCTGAAACTGGAATATGGCATTATTCAATTCCTTCCTGGCATTTTTTCTTTCATCAAGCACTTAATTTCTACCATTGGTTTTACAGAATCCGACTTAATGATGTCACAAATGTGACATGCCTTACTTGTGGGCTGTATCCAGAAAGATGTCAGTACTATTCTGTATCATTTAGTCAAGACACAAAGTATTACCAACTCAGATGTTCGGGTAAGTTTGAACTGACTGGGAGGGTGGCAGTTGCAGTTATGACTCACAGTGTTCATCTGAAGTCGCTCCCTCTCTTACCCTCACCTTGAATACTTTAGTTCCCCTTGCACTCACTAGCTGATGCCTCCTTTTCTCTCTGGGCAACCTTCTTTCCTCTCTCCCCATCCATGAGGTTTCCCTTCCTGTCTCCAGCTTGGGAAATGTTCTGCCCTGCTCAATTCTCTCCTTTGGAATTTGAGAAGCTCTTGAAATTGCATAAGTCCCCTTCTTTTAACTCAAACCTGGGTTTAACCACCTTTCCTTCCATTCTAACAAGAGACTTGCATGGCTTGCTTTACACTGAAAACACACACTCCAGAGCTTATGTATAACACAGGTACTTCATCCTTGTATAAACACATATTGTGGATATTTTTGTTATTATTTTATGCACTTTCCCATTGAAGTGAGAAAATGTATGCAGTGGTACCTGTCACCCATTGCAATCACTGCTCTATTTTCTGTGGCTATTATTATTATTATTTTATTTCTCTATTATAAATGAAGAAACCTGGACAAGGAGAGATAAAGTGACTTACAGAAGGTCACCCAGCTGGTAAGAGACCCACCAGGATTCAGACACCAGTCTCTGCTTCCAGAGTCCTCTGTCCTAAGCATTGTGCTAGAATGTTTCTCAAAACGGGAGAAAGAATCTGGATAATCTGAAAAGAACTGTCAGTTGCCAAAAAGAGATCTCCAAACCAATTAATCTGAACTTTTCTTTATTATTATATTTCCTTTTTCTTTATGATTCTTTACTATAGCTATTTTTAGTTATCATTTATTAGACATGCACTTTATACTAGGCACTGTAGTAACAGCTTTTGTGTGTGTGCTAACAGCTTTCTATTTATTCTCTTGTTTAATCCTTTAAAAACTCTATAAAGTAGATATTATTATCCTCATTTTACATATGAGGACATTGAAGCTTAGGTAATATTGTCTGAAGTCACACACACATAAACCAGGATTCAAAGCCAGTTTTGTGTAGAGTCTTTACTGTGGTTCTGATGAAGGGTGAAAATTAATATTAGCATCCAAATATGTCAAATTCAAATGGCTCACAGAATAGCTTTTCTATACATTACCTTCTCACTGCAACTATCACAGTTGGGATAAATAATGAAGATATGTGCTTGTGAGAAAACCACTTTCGCTTGCCAGAAAGGAATCACTTATCCAAGTCAGGCACTGCGCAGATGTGAGAGTGGAACCAGCAGCAGGGATACCCGCCCCTTCTCCAGGTGAGGAATACTCCAGAGCTCTGCCCTAAGGGGCGAAGCTTGAGGGACAGGCGATCATCTCAGGTCCACCGTAGAGCAGGGAAGGATGAGAGCACAGAGTCCCGAAGGCTCAGCTCACACAGATGACACAATCAGGTGCAGAGGTTGTTACGCGCCCAAAATCTCCCAGAAGGGCATAAGCTCCTTTCCTGCTTCATTCTGCTGCATCCTGTGGCTTTCCAGTAATGCTTCTTAAAATCAAACTGAAATTATTTTAAGGAAAAGGGGACAAAACATTTCAATAATAATAACAGCCAACATTTATTGAGCTCCTTAACCACTATGATATTTATTATGTGTTCTGTCAAAGTTAAATGGTAACAAACAATATTTTGTAATGTATGCCATCTTTTTTTTTTTTTTTTAAATATGTACCTCAAACATCTTTCTCTCTGATTATATTAACAGGCCCTGGTCTACCCCTCTATACTCTGCATAGCAGCAGGACTGATGAAGGTATTTTGTCATATTTCACCCTTCACTTGCTTTTAGGAACATGTGTGAATAGGACCAGCAGGTTCTTAGCACAGTGTGATTTCCTTTGGCTTTTGAGTGTGTAAATAATGACTTGAACATAGAGCTTGTGACCTGAAGTATGTATTGTCTGGTCAGTGACACACATATTTGCTCATTATTGCATTGCATAATCTAACGTCACGTTGTAATGAATTACTCTTGTCCCCCTGTATTTAATCAGAACTCAGAATCCTGGAAGACAACTCAGCTTTGGATAAAATGCTGCAGGATGTCCAGATGCCCTCAAAAAAACTGGACTTCATTGTTTTGAATGGAACGAGTAAGTTAACTAAGAATTAAACATTTTCCGTGAAATAGTATTTATCACGGGAACACCAATAAAATATAACCATGATCATTTCATCTGAAAATTTGTATTTTTATATTATATAGAAATCTAATTTTTTCCATGAAGTAAAAGTTCTGTCACAAGAACTACCAATTTTACATTCTTTTGTCTTAAAATAGAGTAACAGTCTATGTAAAATTTGTTCCGTCAAGAGAAAAGGTATTTGGAGAAAATGCACAATTGCCAGTGCAATTGCATCATATTAGTAACTCTATTCCACTGTCAGTGGTTCAAATTCACCAGGCGCTCCTTGGAAAATCTATGAGGCAGTTCTACTCTGTCCTATAGGGTAGCTGTGAGGCTGTGAGTCGGAATCGACTTGATGGCAACGAGTTTTTTTTTATTCTATTGTTAAGTATTAACTGTGCTTTTAACTTAATGATATCCTCGTGTGTTTCACCTTTAACCCCCCCAAAACTGAAAATATGTGAGATGATTGTATAAAAAAATTAGGGTTAGCTGTAAAATGTTGAAACTTCGGTCCAGGAAAGAAATCTTGAACTTTTTCTAAAATACCCTCCCTATAATTAGCCTGTTTCTGGCCTCGAAGCCTAATCGGGTTATATTCAACAACCTCTAAAAACAAAGAATTACTTTGTGAGTAAGAAACTTTGTCTTTCTTCCCCATTAGGAGTAGCAAATTATGGGTGGGAAATCTATCAGAAATCAACATATTAAAAAATAATATAGCTTTACTTCACTTTTAAATTTAGGATAAAAAAATATAAAATACTCCACTGACCTAATGTTAAATGATAGAAAAAACACCTGAAAATGCAGAGTTCTTTTCAAGAACAGCTTAGAGTTGAATGTGCATATGAATCACCTGGTAGCTTGTTAACATGCACATTCTGATCCAGCAGATCAGAGGGCGCCCAGGAGTCTGCATTTGTAATGACTTCCTAGTTGGTGCCAATGCTCCTGGCCCTTAACCTACGCTCCAGTGGCAAAAGCTTAAGAGTTTTGGGAGAGCTAACATGGACAGTCTGGTGCTGACGGTATTGAAAGCTGAGATGTAACATTCTATTTCAGTTGGTACACAGTGGGGAGCCTCTGAAGACTTTAGAGTCAGGGAAACACCACAATTAGATAGAGGACCTGGTAGGGAGTGTGGGATGGAGCTGCCAAAGGGGAAAGTTCCAGTAATCATTCAAACAACTGGAAAAAGAGGCCCTGAAGGGAGGAGGGAGCAGGGGTGGAAGGACTGAGAATAAGAAAATAACCCCAAAAAAAAGACTGTGCATCTTCAATAAGGTAGAACTAAAAAATCTTCTGATCAGCTCGTACCCATTCATAAATAGCAGAAATCAAATGGTGAGTTTCCCATACTCATTAAAAATATTCATGATTTGAAATTCTATTGAAATTATAATGGAGAATTAGATTTTTGGTGTTTTTACAAGCACATTTAATCAGAAGGTATAAAAATAATTCACAAAATACAAATTAAAGAGAATTATATTTATATAAAGATTCTACTCTGAAACCTTTTTTTCTCCTCAACTAAAATAATTATAACAAACAAACAGAAAGATAGATACATGGAAGAAACAGCTCTAGAGATGAAGATTTTTCTTTTTTCCCCCACAGGTAAAATCTACTGAATTTAGAAGTAATCTTACTAAAATATGTGCCAACTCTCATTTTTTTTAAAAAAGGAATACAAAATTAATTATTTTAAATTGTCATCTGAATTTGGGAGAAAAAGAAACTGATTTATTATTTAGGAATAAATTTTATTTAACTGATGTCAAAACCAAGCACAGAGAATTGAATGGATCTACAGAAGATCATACAGAATATTTGCAAGAGTTTACTCCACATAGACCTGATTTCATTCTGTGAAATACAGAGCTAAAAATGAGAGCTCAGCTTTGTAGTGTGGGACAGCAATAGAATAACAAGAATATTACTGAATCAGAATTTTAAAATAGATTTGGGGCCAACTAAAAATCCTAAACAGTTTCAAGGAAACTCAAGACGAGGAAAACATTTGGAGGAAAACTTAGAACATAAGCCATAAACAAACTACACTTGCTCCTCACTTATCGACCTGTTAAGTAGTTGCAAAGACCCGGTTGTTATGCAAAAATCAGCATTATGAGAAAATGGAGGATGACCACATCAGATCACAGAAATGGAGGATACTATATCATTATATAACTGCCAAATTACATCATTACATAACTGCCAAACCACTGAGAATCATGGCCTAGCCAAGCTGACACATGATCTTGACCATCACAGCCAGCCTTACTCTTGCCACCCATCTCAGCATTCATTACTGCCAGATGTACATTGCTAATGTGCAAAATAGTCGGATAGTAGATTTTTTACTATTACCATAAATGCAAAACGTCAGATAATAAGATAGTGAGGAGTAGGTAGATAAGTATATCAGATGCCAAAGAGCATCATCCAAAAAAACAAAACATTAGAAATTCTAAAATGCACTTTTATTTTACAAGGCATCAATGTATTTAATAGATACATTAGAAGGGACTTCATTTGTTTTAATATTAACTAGCATTTTAATATGGAAGAGAATGTTTTTATATCTTAAAGACATGCTGGATCCAAACAGTTCATTTCCTTTTTCTATTCTTATTTAGTACATTGTTAAACTCTAGATACAACTTATCACTGATGGAGATAAGGAAGGAAATCTTGTGCTAATAATTGTTGTTAACTTTACTAATTAATCTTTCTGTTTGTTTAGAATTTTGGTATCAGATGATCTTGCCAGCCCATTTTGATGAGTCCAAGAAATATCCTTTACTGTTAGACGTGTAAGTATTCAAGAGAAGGGAACGATTTAGAAGTTAAGCATCATATGTTTTTTTTGCCCAGTGCAGTTACTGAAAAATAGAGCCAAAAAATGCATCCTTGCTCTCTTCCTGAATCATTGTAAAGCAGTTTTACTATTTCCTCCTTCCATTTTGCTCTCAAAGCCTCAACCTATGTTTTCTTCCATCTTCCTAGTAGGGAACGTAGACATGCCTCTTCCATCATTGTGGCATATGGATTTTGTTTTGTTTTGTTTTGTTTCCTCTCACTCTTAAGGCAGTTACCAAAGAAATTCTTAAGTCCTGGACATTTTAACAAGCAAAAGATGGGTATTAACAGTCTTCACAATTTCCTTACTCCCCAAAGTTGCCCAAACATTTCCCATTGGTTGCTCTGTTCATTAGTCTCTGCTTCCTTTAGTTCCTCAAATACCACTTCCCGGTATTTTCCATTCCTGTTTTTGGTGAAGTGCTGAAAAGTTCTGAAACCACAGTCTTTGAAACAGCTAATGAGAATTCATGTGAACTCTAAAATATAGCAGATTTGTAAAATGTTTTTAGTAATTATTAAGAATGCATTTTAATTTAATCCTTTAAAAATTGTCCTGGCCTCACCCATAATGCCACAATGCCACTTTTCCTGTCCTAGCTTGCCTCATTTCTTTTATTAAAGCAAAACAAAACTAACAAGTGTTCTGAGTGACTGCCCTGTGTCAGGTGCTTAGTATAATTTGCCTTATTTTGTTCACATGGAAAACCTATGTGGTGGGTTTTATTGAGCACATTATCCCTTTCATGCCTGATGGTACATATAGTGACCATGAACTTTTTCAGCCCTGAGGTTTATTGGGAAGCTGCTGTACTGCTGATGGTGTGGGCTGCCGCAAGGCAGGGACTTTTATGACTGAATCCAAAGAAATGGGCATGTGCTGCAAATTACTGTTTTTACAGGGTATTGTATGAGGTGTCTGAATTTTTTACAGAAAAAATAGAAATTTTGAAAATTTCTATTTGTAACACATATGTACCAATAGACCCCAATTAGGACTCTGGGGTATAATTAGTGTTACATTATATGTACCACTAAGCATTTACAGGAGGCTTGTGCGAGAGGGCAAGAAAAAAAAATCCATACTACCTACCCAAAATTCAGACACACTCAGTGATTCAGCACGCTTCCATTAATGAAAACTCATGGTAGCAACAAAAAATTCAAAGCAGAAAATAATTGAGTCACCAAAGGGTTATATAGAAGAGAAAACTGAAGCTCAGGGACATCACTTTTCTGTTGTTACTACCAAAAGTGAAGCAATAGCTATTAGCATCATACACAGCCTTGCACTATAATCATTATTCCATGAAAGTCAAACATAAAAGCTCAAAGAAAGGTAACGATGGGTAATTTTAAACTTCCTGATGGGCTATTTGATTTTCATTTAAGACAATAACCTAATATTGACTGTGGTGACACTAATTTGCTTTAGGCTTTAGTCCCGATATTAAAAGAATCCTTAGGGAAAGAGTAATATTTTTTTTATCTTCTTTGATTCCCCACTAAGCGATTATTAGACCTCTTCTTCATTATAAAAACTATAAAAACCACAGTAAGTTTAGTGTCCATTTCTGTTCAGTTTTTTTCTTCTTCCTCACTTTTTTGTAATTTAATTTTTTTTTGTTAAGAATATACACAGCAAAACATACACCAATTCAACCATTTTACATATACAATTCAGTGACATTGATTACATTCTTCGAGTTGTGCAGCCATTCTCACTCTCCTTTTCTGAGTTGTTCCTCCCCCATTAACATAAACTCACTGCCCCCTAAGTTTCCTATCTGTCTTTCTAGTCACTGTTGTTGCTTTGATTCGATATAGATAGTTCTTAAAAGAGCATAATGCTCAAGGCAGACATTTTTTACTAGTTAAGCTAAACTATTGTTTGGTTTTAAGAAGACTTCAGGGTATATTTTTGGTTTAAGGTTTAAAGATTAACTCAGGGCAATAGTTTCAGGGGTTCATTCAGCCCACATGGTTCCAGAAAGTCTGGAGTCCATGAGAATTTGAAATTCTGTTCTGTACCATCCCCCTTTTGATCAGGATTCTTATACAGAATCTTTGATCAGAATGTTCAACAGTGGTAGCCAGGCGCTATCCAGTTCTTCTGGTCTCATGGCAAAGGAAGCAGTTGTTCATGGAGGCAATTAGCCACACATTCCATACCCTCCTCCTATTCCTGACTCTCCTTCTTCCTCTGTTGCCCCAGGTGAATAGAGACCAGTTGTTGTGCCTTTTATGGCTACTTGCAAGCTCTTAATACCCCAGGCACTACGAAACAAACTAGAAGGTAGAACAGAATGACTAAACATGTTATTAAGCCAGTTACCTGAGATGTCCCATGAAGCCATGACGCTAAACCTCCAACTCAGGGGACGAAATCCATGAGGTGTTTGGCTGTACATAAGCAGCCTCAGCAGCTGCTCGTTTTGTTGTTGTCGTTGTTGCTGTTGTCCCTCCTCCTCCTCTCTTCAGAGGTCGAAATCTTTGCTTTTTTTTTTTTTTTTAAAGTCCTTTTTAATTTCATGGGTTAGGTAATTTGAGACAGACCTAATATTAAGGCAAGCTGTTACTCTCTACCAACTTTAATGTCATTGAGAGAGCCAAGACATTTCACATGTTGTCAAAAAATGTTTGCTTGCCCAAGAAATACATGAATGCATTCTCCTTTTAAGCTGAGAATGTTACAGTATTTAGTTTAACATTAAATTACTAAATACAATTTTAAAAAATATTTTGTTTAAAACTAAAGTTTTTTTTAACTGCTATTGCTAAGAAAAAGGAAGAAAACATTAACAAAGGCAGGGAGGAAGGAACTGCCCAATCCTGTGTAGGGGATAGTGAGCGGGTAGGTAGGAGAGATGAGCGAGGGCAGCAGTAGTCAATGGAGAAGATCAGGGGCCAGAAGTCCTGTAGATCATTCAAAGATGACACATTGAAGTGAGATGCAATGAGCTATAGGGCGCTGCTCTTGATTAACAGAACAGTGAGAGGGCTTGAAGGAGATGGTGTGCACAGCTATGTGTGGAGTAGATGGTAGCCTGTTGTCATAGACTGAATAGTGTCCCCCCAAAAATGTGTGTATCAATTTGGCTGGGCCATGATTCCTGGTATTGTGTGATTTTCCAGTGTGTGGTAAATCCTGCCTCTATGATGTTAATGAGGCAGGGTGGGCAGCAGTTGTGTTAGTGAGGCAGGACTCAGTTTCCAAGACTGGATTGTGTCCTGAGGCAATCTCTTGAGATATAAAAGACAGAAGTGAGCAGTGAGATGGGAGACCTCATACCATCAAGAAAGCAGTGCTGGGAGCAGAGCACGTCCTTTGGACCGGGGTTCCTGCTTAGAGAAGCTCCTAGTCTGGGGCAACACCGAAGAGAACAAGGCCGACAGAGAGAAAAAGGCTTCCCCTGAAGTTGATGCCCTGAATTTGGATTTTTAGCCTACTTTAAATGTGAGGAAATAAATTTCTCTTCGTTAAAACCATCCACTTGTGGTATTTCTGTTATAGCAGCACTAGATGACTAAGACACCTGTAAAAACTGCAGATGCAAGAGAGTTAAACATGTTAATAAATAGAATGCAAAACAGTATACCTATTTTCCAGTACAATCTATTTCTTTCTCCTTTGCAGTTGGAAGTAATAGCATTCATTTGTATTTTGGTGCATTCCGCAATGATTTGTTTAGAGTGTGCAACATTGTGCTGGGAATTGTAGGAAATGGAAAACATGATACAGCAGTCAGAGTGTTCAAGGATGTTACAACCTAGGAAATATACTTGCAGTCTAGAAGTGTTTGTAAACTGAGATATATTCAAGATACACCCTAAAGATATATTCAAGGCTGCATTTATTGTCATCAGCATTATTATTATCATCACGATTATTTCATTACACAGCTCCCTCTCCCAACTATCAGGGTAATAATTTCTTTGGTTTCCAAGATATAAAATATTTAGACAATGTCAGCCTGTGAAGTCTGTGTTGGATAATAATCTTCAAAGATAAAACTGATGGGCATCTTTGCAGGAAACACAGCCACTAGATTTGTGTTACCAGGTTTTAGAGGATCCATTCTGGACACCTTGGCGGCTGGCATGATTTCAGGCTCATGATCAGGAAAAATGTACATTTCTTGTCCACAGGGAAGAGAAATGCTAGTACTCTTCATTTGATGGAAAACCACGAAAGCTAACAATTTGGAATCTTTCACAGATATGCAGGCCCCTGCAGTCAAAAAGCAGATACTGTCTTCAGACTCAACTGGGCTACTTACCTTGCAAGCACAGAAAACATTATAGTAGCTAGCTTTGATGGCAGAGGAAGTGGTTACCAAGGAGATAAGATCATGCACGCAATAAACAGAAGACTGGGAACGTTTGAAGTTGAAGATCAAATTGAAGCAGCCAGGTGAGTGACTAAGTGATGAGTTCAAAGGTCATCTGATTTTTTTTTCAATTTATAGTTTAATGTCATAAAGTGTAAAGAATTTGCGTTGTCCTGGGATGAATTTGTAACCTTTCATTTTGGGGGTAGATTTTTAGTGAAGGTTATCATATTTAGATAAAAATCTATATCATTACAGATTTATATAAAGTTAAAAAAAAAAAGCATTTCCCAAATTCCTCTCTGTGTGCGAGCATAGAAAGGTAGTTGATATATGCTACCGTCATCTAGGAACAGACTCCAAATTCATCAAACACATGTGGACAAACTGAAGGATAAATGTAAATAAGCAAACCCATCCTTGTAGTCAAGGATAAGCAGGAGAGTGACAGCCGTGGAGTACAAGGAGTGGCTTATACAGCCTGGGTCAGAAAATTATGGAGCACAATCATCATTGGTCACAATTATAAGGGCTTCATTAAGTATGAATCACATCTGATCTTGTACTTTCCAGAATGGGACTATACATTGATGTGATTTGACTTAAGAGAGATTTTAATCATGAATAATGGTTACCATTTAATGAGCACATAATGAGGGAAGTGTTTTACCTGCATTGTTATTGAAGCTGCACAGCAGTGCTTGGAGGTGGGTATTCTATCGCCACATTTCAGGTAAAGAAATGGAGGCTCTTAGGGTAGGTAACTTCCCAAGTGTGACAGGATTTGGATCTAGGTCTCTCTCCAATGCTTACATTCTACTGCATTCAGCTGGTAAATGGGAAACGTAATCTTTGAGTTTCCACGACCAACTGTACAGATATGTGGGGAAGCATAACAAGTGGGATGGTTAAAAACAATGCTGTTAAATCAAAAACCAGGAAATGCAGAGTCACAAATAATTAGATGGGTGGAAAGAAATACCTTTGAGAAAATGAACAACCAAAGAGAAGAAGATGGCAGACCATTTATTAAGTATCCGCAAGTGGATGAAGAGTTAGATTAGAGAGAGGGCAAATTTGTTCCAGAGCGAAGCTGTGAAATAAAAGTGAGTTTTTATCTATCCAGACTGGTTCTGTGAGAAATAGGGCATGGTTTACAGGGCCCCTCAAATCTGACCAACTCAAGTCCTAAAATTACAGAATTGACTACCCTCAATACACAACTCTAGTTAAAAAGATAATGAGATGTGATGTATTCATACAATGGAATACTATTTCAGCAACAAAAAAACTATACACAACAACAGGGATGAATCACAGGAGCAGACTGGTGAATGAAAGAAGCTGGACACAAAAGTGTAGATCCTGCATGATTCAATTTATAGAAAGTCCAAAACCAGGCAAAATCATCTAATCAAAATAGAAGTCACTTCTGACAAAGGTCCAAATGATACGTGATTACCTGTCAATTTTCAATTTGTGAATTTGATTACACAAATTCAGGTAAAATTTTTATGGAATCCAATTAAAAAAAATATTTCTTTTTGTTCTTTTGCAAACAAGGAAATGACTGGGAGGCTTCTGGGGTGCCAGTAATGCACTCAATCTTGATTCAGGTTTCAAGGATATGTACACTTTATAAAGATGTATCAAGTTGTATGCTTAAGATTTGGTACACATTTCTGCATGTACATTATTCTTCCATTTTTAGAAGTCTACATTGAGAAGATAAGTTGAAACTACTTATTTTTAATTTTTCTCTAATATTGCTTAACTCAGAGCAGCCTAAAACACAGATTATCAATTGATAACCCAAAGACTTTCAAAGTCACGTATTGGTCAGTGCGAGACTGTCCTGCCTCCCTCCCTCCACAGTACACCAAAATTAAGTCTCATTTGCTAGATTTTTAAAAATTTCCCTAGGGTTTTGTTTTGCTTTAATTGTGGTAAACTATATATAGCAATACATTTACCATTTCAGCCATTTTTATGTGTCCAATTCAGCGAACAAATTGCCTTTGATGTAAGGTTACAAATAGGTGCACAAAAACATTTTGCTCATTTCTTTCCATGGATATCATTCTGAACACAGTTTAAAGGCAAAAAAACTTCCTTAATCCATCAAAGAAAAATTACTTTGCTGAGCTAACTAATCAACACTCAACATAGAAGAGATTTATTTAGAGACTAGTGTTTTAGTTCTCAGGTAGGGGGTCCGGAGACATTCTAAGCCCTACCCAGATGTTCTCCTTGCCCCCATGTTTCTCCGTTGCAGGAGCAGCCTCTCTTGAACTGAAAAACATCTGGAGAGATTTAAATTCAATTATGTAAAGAAAAGTGCATCTGGGCTGCAAATTTTTATATAAAGCTGTGAAAAAAAACTGCCAGGATTTGTTTTCTGTAAATCACAGACACACATACATACACACACAGACAAAATTTTTATGGACTCCAACAAGAGTAAACCTTGTTCATCTGGACCTTAAGTTCAAATGGTAGACATTCTAGACACTTATCTCAGGTGTTGATTTGATTGCTGGCAGTAATTAGTCTTAGTTTTTAATAGAATGAAGTAGAGAACAAATGGCAGGGCTTCACATTTGTGCACTTATCTTAGTTTTCTCTACTAATTCATGGACTTCTTCCATGTGTTTTAGACAATTTTCAAAAATGAGATTTGTGGATGACAAACGGATTGCAATTTGGGGCTGGGTGAGTAGCTGTTTGGCTGATGAGTCTGTATGCATTCCTTAGTGAGTATAACCCAGAGCAGGATAATTTATCTTTTGTATGTAAACATTTGGAGATGAAAATCGTGTGTGTATCATTTTTAAGCTAAGAGAGCCAGAGAAAATGTCTGAGATCTCTAGGCAGTGACCTTCTAGACTCTGTACTGAGCCATGTTTACAACTTTGTTTACTGTGATGAGGGAGGGATGTAGGAAAGGAGGGATACTTTCCTATGAGTCAAAAGCAGTAAAGATTTAGTGTTAGTTTGTTTTTTTCTTTGAATTGATACTACCCATTTACCACGGTCAGCAAATTTTTCATGCATTTTCTCCTACATCTAGCATTAAAACGGACCAGGTCTCTGAAGTGTAGTCTTTAGAAACTGCCAATTAAGGCCAATTTAAGCCTGGTCTACCATGCTTTCTATCTCTAAAGAGGCACAGTATATAAAGATGTGAGAAATGTGGAAACTGCGACTTGCTTACCATATGTCCCTATTCCTTTACCTCCATAAAAATAACTCTTTCTGTTCCTTAGTCATATGGAGGGTATGTAACCTCAATGGTCCTTGGATCGGGAAGTGGCGTGTTCAAGTGTGGGATAGCTGTGGCACCTGTATCACGCTGGGAGTACTATGGTATGTAATTGCAGTCAAGGCACAAAGAGATACTGAGCGTTGACCTTCAAATTCCAGTGATAAAACCATTCCTTTTTGAGTTTCAGCGTTTCTACAGTGAATAAACAGATTCATCTCAGAAGTACTTTATGGGTACCCATAATAAGATGTTCTCATTTATACTGCGATTGTGAAAGACTGTGTGATATTAATTATATAAGTTATCTACACATTTAGTTACTTATCAATATAGTCTATTCTAAAATTTCAAAATAGTCCCAGTGCTACATTTCTACAGATAAAATCTGCCTTTTCTTTATTTTAATTTGAAGTTTGGGCTTCACATATTAGCACAATTGGAGAAAACGTGTATCTCTTTCCCCTCAGGTAAAGGTCAAATATAAGCAGGGCTTTGGATGGAAAGGTAGTCCCTGGGTGGAGCAAATGGTTAATGGGCTCAGCTGCTAACCAAAACGTTGGCGTCCACCCAGAAGTGCCCCAGCAGAAAGGCCTGGTGATCTACTTCTGAAAAATCAGCCATTGAAAACCCTGTGGAGCACAGTTCTACTCTGACACAGATGGGGTCACCATGAGTCAGAATCGACTTGACGGCCACTTTTTTTTTTCTTTTTAGTGGGTGGAAAGAGGAAAATAGGGGCAGGAGAATTCTAGTTCTGAGGAGTTTTATTTTCTTCCACTACCTCAAAGTAGTTGAAAGCCACTCTAAAATATTCTCTTCTTCATTAAGAAAATCTTACTGTATAAGGCATCAAACATATGTATACACGTAAGGCTGTTATTCCCAAGGGAAAGGGGTGAGCGGTAGAGGACTAAGTAGGAGGGAGAAGTCAGAGGTGGTGAAGAGATGAATTATTCTCCTATCCTCTTCTGACCCCATCTCAAGGCCCTTATGTAGTATAAGGATAGAGTCATTGATAATGAATATGCTCTTTAAATAGTTCATATCCTAATCCTAATCCTGTGGAAATCTATTTTTAAAGTCTCTCCCAGTCAAAAGAAGCCACTATAAAAACAAAATCAAACAAATAAACAAAACACCAAAAAACACTGCTATCATTCAGATAAAAAATTGGAGAGCGTAGTTAGGATTTGATCCACACACAATGGATTTTTTTCATATAATACTTTTCTGCTTGATATTAGTTATTCTATTGGATAGCTTGTTTTTGGAGACCTCTGCTGTTCAATAAGATAATAGAAACAATCTTTCTGAGTTTGGAAACGTGGTAATAAGAAGAAAATTTTATTAAATGTATATAGACCAACCGAAAATATAGGAAACTTTCTAGAGTTCTTATACATGTGTAAATTTGAACAATTTTGCTCAAAGATCTGATAGAAACAATACATAAATGCTGTTCAAAGCGTATTTCTAAAAGTTGAGAACTGAATTATGTTGTTGTTTTTTTAAATTTCAGATCTCACACATGTAAACCTGGTTAGCATAAATAAGAAAGGGATATTGTGCTCTATGATAAGCAGAACTGAAGTCTGCATCTGTTCTGGGAAGAATTTATTTTGGCCTTAAAGGCCATTTTTCCCCTAAGTTATTAATATTTAATAACAACCCAGTATTAATTATTAAATATTAGTAACAACTCAAGTTATTAATATTTAAATCTTAAGCTAAAAAATGGGTGCTTTATGAAGATCTTATATTTTAAAGCTTAGTGTCCTCTAGATATATAAATTTACATATAGTCTGTATTTATTTTAATCAAAATGATAAAATATTGCTGTTATTCTTTTTGGAGGAAAATACTTTGATTTTCATAGAAATGACATGAAGAATACATATGGAACAACTAATGCTTATATCGATGTAGTTTTTAGTCTATAGTGCCAGTCATCTAAAAAGAGTCAGAATGTTCTGATGGTTGAGGCTCAGATGAAACTTAAAAGATTAATGAAATCAGTTTTAAAATCGCAGTACAGTTGGAGTGAAATTCAAGCCATTAACCTACATAGGACAATGGCAATATGTCACTCACTTATTTCCTGTAATCTGGTATTTTTTAATGCATAGGACTTTTTTTTTAATTGTTCTTTCAATGAAGGTTTACAGAACAAACTACCTTCTCATTAAACAGTTAGTACACATATTGTTTTATGACATTGGTTAACAACCCCATGACATCTCAGTACTCTCCCTTCTCAACCTTGGGTTCCCTATCACCAGCTTTCCTGTCTGCTTGTGCCTTCTAGTCCTTGCCCCTGGGCTGGTGTGCCCCTTTGGTCTTATTTTGTCCTATGGATCTGTCTAATCTTTGGCTAAAAGTTGAACCTCCAGAGTGACTTCATTACTGAGCTAAAAGGGTGTCCAGGGGCCATAGTCTTGGGGTTTCTCCAGTCTCTGTCAGACCAGTAAGTGTGATCTTTTTTTGAGTTAGAATTTTTTTGGTTCTACATTTTTCTCCAGCTCTGTCTGGGACCCTCTATTGTGACCTGTGTCAGAGGAGTCAGTGGTGGTAGCCGGGCACCATCTAGTTGTACTGGACTCAGTCTGGTGGAGGCCATGGTAGTTGTGGTCTGTTAGTCCTTTGGACTAATCTTTCCCTTGTGTCTTTAGTTTTCTTCATTTCCCTTGCTCCTGAAGGGGTGAGACCAGCAACGTATCTTAGATGGCCACTCACAGGCTTTTAAGACCCCAAACGCTACTCACCAAAGTAGAATGTAGAACATTTTCTTTACAAACTATGCTATGCCAGTTGAGCTAGATGTTCCCTGAGACCATAGTCCTCCTAGCCCTCAGCCCAGTAATTCGGTCCCTCAGGGAGTTTGGATTTGTCCGTGGAGCTTCCATGACCTTACTGTGAACAAGTGGTGCTGGCTTCCCCAGTACTATGTACTGTCTTACCCTTCACCAAAGTTACCACTTATCTATTGTCTATTTAGTGTTTTTCCACCCCACCCCTCCCCTCCCTCCTAACCATCAAAGATTGTTTAGTTTTGTGTGGAAACCTTTCCATGAGTTTTTATAGTAGTGGTCTCATACGATATTTGTCATTTTGTGATTGACTTATTTCACTCAGCATAATGCCCTCCAGATTCATCCATGTTTCGAGATGCTTGGCAGATTCATCATTGTTCTTTATCATTGTGTAATACTCCATTGTGTGTGTGTACCATAGTTTGTTTATCCATTCATCGTTGATGGGCATCTAGGTTGTTTCCATCTTTTTGCTATTGTGAACAATGCTGCAATGAACACGGGTGTGCATATGTCTATTCGTGTGACGGCTCTTATTTCTCTAGGATATATTCCTAGGAGTGGGATTGCTGGATCATATGGTATTTCTATTTCTAGCTTTCTAAGGAAGCGCCATATCATCTTCCAAAATGGTTGTACCATTTTGCATTCCCACCAACAATGCATAAGAGTTCCAGTCTCCTCACAGCCTCTCCAACATTTGTTATTTTCTGTTTTTTTTGATTCGTGCCAGTAATGCCGGGATGAGGTGATATCTCATTGTGGTTTTGATTTGCATTTCTCTAATGGCTAGTGATCACAAGCATTTCCTCATGGGTCTGTTAGCTGTTTGAATGTCTTCTTTGGTGAAGTGTCTGTTCATTTCCTTTGCCTATTTTTTAATTGGATTATTTGACTTTTGATTATAGAGGCGTTGGCTTTTCCTGTAGATTTTAGAGATTAGACCTTTGTCAGATTTGTAATAGCCAAAATTTTCTTCCAGTCTGTAGGTTCTCTTTTTACTCTTTTGGTGAAATCTTTTGTTGAGCATAAATGTTTAATTTTCAGAAGATCTTAACAGGGCATCTTTTAAAAGTTATTTCAGATTTTTAAAGTTATATGAAATTCAGCCACAGTAAATTTTTTCAATCATCTTTTAGGGATATACATATGTGTGTGTGTGTGTGTGTGTGTGTGTGTGTGTATGTAATTTAATTATTTTAAAATTAGGCAAAAATATGTTTGATTATCCAAAATAACGAAACCAGTTGTACAACCTATTTTTTCACCGTATAGAAAAGAATGTATGCCATTTCAGCAGACAGATATTAATGTTATCTTTTTTCACAACGCTCAAACAAAATTCAGTCCCCTCCACATAAAGAGAGTGAAAACAAATGTTCAACTTGCATTAAGATGGAGTAGTTGAGCTGACATGTGGGCATACAGCAAACACATAACTGAATTCTTTCATTATATTGAATTCCAACCTGCCAAGAAAATAAAATGTTATTTAGGTAAGCAACTAGTAATTGGGCATCATCAGAGTTTTCCAGAAGTAAAGGAAATAAAGTATCATAAATGAGTATATGTACTTTGTTCAGGACCTAAAAATCCAAGACAATTGAGGCATTACATGTCTTCCTAATTAAAATTCTTTGAGAGGGTCAGAAGATAATGTAAAGCCTCTTAGTACTTCACATTTGGGTTTTCTGCAGGTGGATTTATTGATTGTTTTCCGTCATCTACTAGTTGGATTTCTTTCTGCCACGATCGTAAAAGTTAAGTGGGAATGGTTAGGGCTGAGTACAGAAAGGCATGAGTCTGAGAAGGTGTCAAGAAATCAGTGTCTCTGGTTGCATTAGCTAGTCAAGTAAGAATGATCTGTAGGTGTACTTCTGAGTGTAACACTATATACCGATACCTGAGTTAAGACACAAAAATAGATAAAGTAACCCAACAAAAGGAAGAAAAGTTTTTATTGTATGAATTAAGTTTTTCCTTTTCCATCACAGACTCAGTGTACACAGAACGTTACATGGGTCTCCCAACTCCAGAAGACAACCTTGACCATTACAGGGTAAGAGATGAGGAACTATACCTATTTTATAACCGATTTATAAGTTGTTTAAGAACATGTTTAAGTGTATCTATTCTGGAAAATATATGTTTTTATATCCAATAAAATTCTTGTTAAAAAGAAATAACACAGGTGGTCTAGAGATACTCCATTAGCCTCCCCTACTATATTCTGCATAATTACAGTCTTAATCATATGCTATATAGGTCACAATATGCATTCATTTTGAAAATACAAAGCAACACCAGATAATTACTTTAATTATAAAAATTTCAGTTTAGAAAACAACATGTTAACTTCAACATACTCTGTAGAGCCTAGAAGACTATCTAAACTTCTAGCTATATATTAAAATTTCTCATGATATTATCATAATTAAGATGTATGTGAAAAACCAAAAAACCAAACCCACTGCCATCAAGTTAACTCCGACTCATAGTGATCCTATAGGACAGAGTAGGACTGCCCCATAGTTTCCAAGGAGCTCCCAGTGGATTCGAACTGCTGACCTTTTGGTTAGCAGCCAAACGCTTAACCACTACGCCTCCAGGGTTTCCAGCTTAAGTACAGACAGTTTGATTTTATCTGTTACTTCTAGCTTTAGTTATCAAGGCTTGTGTATGTGTGTGTTATGGGTTTGTGTTTGTTTCTCTATGTGTGTGTTTATCTCTGCTTTTCAGTCAAGATAGAAAAGTAACAATCTGTAGAGTGAGATGCACAAATCATCTCATCCTACAGAGGTGTTATCTAAGGTATGGCAGGTATAGCAAGTGGCCTGGGCTCCACTTAAAGGGGGGTGGGGGTGCCACTGAACAGTTTCTGTTAACCATCACAGTTTCCATCATCAGCTGTGAGAGATCATTTAGCAAGTTAAAACTAATACTTTCGTATTTGAGAGCGTCCTTGGGTCAACGCCTGGTGGTGTAGTGGTGAAGAGTTACAGCTGCTAACCAAAAAGTCAGCAGTTTGAATCACCAGGTGCTCCTTGGAAACCCTATGGGGCAGTTCTACTCTGCGCTGTAGGGTCGCGATGAGTTGGAATCGACTCGAGGGCAATGGGTTTGGGGTTTTTTTTGGTTTTTGGGTCAAGGAAGACTGTGTGATCTTGCTCTACTGAGTGTAGAAAGAGAAGAAACTGAAAAACGACATTGAGCTCGTCATAGACCAGTGTTCATCAGTGAAAGCACGGTAGGTGCAGTTGTAATTTTCATATAGTGCCAGAGTGTGTTAAGTAAAAGATTAACGAGCTTGAACTGTATTTCTGAGCTGATATTACAGTAAAGTTATCTAAAAGTTAGGTGTCAGATAGTTGGACAGGGGCACAATTTCAGTACTTGCGATAGGCGCAATTTTCCATAGATACGCCTCTGCCTACAAAGCAGTCCCATAATCAGGTTGTCCCCATGTCTGCTGATGCTTGGGCTCAGTTAATTCTTCCCAGTCTTTCTCCTCCACATCCACTAGGCTGCTTTAGACATCCTTTCTTCAAACCACATTGCTGTTGTTGTATGACCTTTCTCCTTTTATAACAATAAACTAATGTATCTCTCGTCTTTCCACACTCCAGTCCATTCCACACAGAGCTATGAGATTAGCCCTCACCCACAACACTTTAATGGTCCCTCGTTGTGTGCTCAGCTAAGTTTTGTCTTCACTCTTTAACCAGGCATTCAATACCCTTTATATAACAGCTCAGTTTACCTGGAATGCTCACTGTTCTCTGAATGTTTCTGGGTCTTTCCATTTTGTGCCTTTGCTCATGCTGTTCCTTTTGCTGGAAAGTCATTTCCCTTCCATCTCCATCTGTTATGAAACCTGTACCGCTCTCCCAGTGGAGAAGGGCAGCATCCCCTTTTGAAGCCCATGACATTTTCTCTATCTCTTAATCCTCATTTTATTCTATTTTAGATTAACAATTATTTTGTGCGTGTTTTTCCCTCTGCAATATTGCTAGCTACTCAAGGCTTTCCTCAATATTGTATTTGGATTACCTAATACGAAGCATAAACCTTAAAACCTTTCCTGATTTCATTAAACAATCTCTATCAGAGTTGTATTTCTCCGTCACTTCTCTCATTTTACAACTTGAATTTTCTTGTTAATGAACAGACCACAATGCTTAAATTTGAACACCACCCCTCCTGTGGTACATTCTATTTACTAAGTTGCCACAGATCTTTCTCAGAAGCTCCAAAGTACTAAAAGCTCCTGAAACGTTAGAGGTGAACTTGCCAGGACCCTAACTCAGACTCTAGAACATGGTGCATTATGCGTCAAAAGTTCATTTAAAAATCCCATTCTAAACTAGAAGCCCACACCCTGACATCTAAGCAAGTCCACAGTACCTATCCTACTTCCCTTGATAAACATTAGCTAACAAGGTGTTTCTTCCTCAAGCAGTCCTCCTCAACAGAGGATAATACATTTTAATCTGCCATTTCAACCTGCCTCTTTTTCCAGTCTTTCCTATAGGCTTCTCCTTCCCACAGAAGAACCCCTCTTCCCCAACTCTACCCCCCACTGCGGCGGCCATTTTCATCTTTCCCCTTAGGTGTTCGCTGCGTGAGGTAGTCATGTAAATAGAAGTCACTTCCTACTGCCAATGGCAACACATGCACACTGGGTGCACCAAGTCAGTCTTTCACTTCACTGCACAGATGGCACTAGAGGACTGTTTAGTCCTTCCACGCCAGGAGTCGGGTTTTCTTGGCACAAAATTTATTGCTGGCAATGGACACATTAAAACTGCCAGTACGAGGGAGCTAAAGGTTCCCAGTGTGTTACTCAGAGGAATTATTTGGGAGGGTGATAGTTAAGGTGGGCAGGAGAAAGTGAGGCAAATGCTTTAACTGAATTGTTTCCACTGTGGTAAGTTGCTTCCTGTATTGTGGAGAACTGAATCTAAGGGTCTATTTTTGGTGCACAGCAGGCTTCAGGAGAAAGCTGCCCTCCTTTGTTTTTTAAATGAGTCTGTGCTTTTGTCTTTGGCAAGAATACATTCAAAGATTCTATTTTCCTCCAAGGCCCCAGCTGCCCCTCTGGACCCCATCTTTTACGCTTCTTTCCCTCCTTCCCAGGTTGTTTTTATTTTCCTCTCATCTCTCTCTTTCTTTCTCTGTCTGTATCTCTCTCCTTCCTTCCCTCCTTCCCTCCCTCCTGCCCTCTTTGAAAAGACAAAGAAGCCAATTCCTTAGAGGTTTTCACCACCCTGTGCATTTGTGTGGGTCGGACGGAAATGTTTTGAAAACAATTCACATTTAGTTGAGCTGGTTGACACTTTTTAGTACATTGAGGATATGAATGCCCAAAGTATGTAATAAGTAAGGCCCTGATCTTTGCCCATGTTCCCAGCAGACATACCCTTTCAGCTAAAGAACCATCCATACAGCAACCAGAATCATAGCCTCTGGAAAAGAATGTCATTTTTAATAAAAGTCAAAAGAGAAAAGGATTCATTATTAGGTCATTGATGATCTGAATTTGGAAGCATTTATAGAAATCCACATCACCAAGAGAAGCACATCTTGTGAAATAAAGCTCCTCCTTACCACCTAGGAGAGGGAATTAGAGGAACATTTTGCATACTCAAGTGGGACAGGCAGGGATGCTATGTACAGTTGTTCAGTTTGTGCCCTGCTGGAAGCTAGTCTGTGCTCCATTTGCTAAAGCTTGCACCTTTAGGGCTGCATCCAAGTGGAAGGAGTGCCATATAAACCAGGGAATCCTAGGGCTAAGGCTTTGACTCAATGCAGTGACAAAAGCAGTGAGTCCATAAGCTTTTTTTCGAGATAATCACCCACCTACTGCTAAGTAACAAAGCAGGAACACTTTTAATGGATACCGGGAATTCAAAATGGAAGGAAGTGGTTCATTTCCCTAAAACCCCAAGGAGCTGGCCCCAGAAGTTCTAATGTGGGCAGCCAGCGTGGAAGGGTAACAAGTCAGAACTAACGGGCAGTGTAGCTGTGTAGCAACACCTTTTCTGCAGTGAGTTCTTGGCCCACAGCAGACAGAAATGGTGACAGAATTTGAGCAAAGTAATCATATAGCCAAAGAGACAACCCCTACCACCAACAGCAATAAGCAGATAGCAATTATAGCCCCACCTGAGGAGTAGGTTTCTGAATAACATTGATGAATAGTTTCTCAAACGATCAGTCATCGGATTTGTAGTTAAACTTGTGCAGGTTAAAAAAAAAAAATTAGTAAGTGGTAGACTTTCTTTCATTCACCCATTCAAAGTGCCTAGTATTTTTTTTGTTTCATTTTGTTTTTCGATTGTCCGCCTTGTTGGTGAGAAAAAACATACACACAAAATTTTTGGAGAGAAATGAATAAGTAATAAAGCATGAGCTTGAATATGACAAATTGCTCAACATGTATGACATTGACTGGTGGTTTACAAATTGTGACTGTGGAGTCCCAGGAATTCTATACATTGGAAGCATGTAAGCAGGGGGAGGGGAGGAGCCAAGAAGTTAAGGTTTCACCTTTCCCTTACTTCTTTCCCACTGCAACCAGAGTGCATCCAGTCTCAGTTGTGTAATATTTTGGGCTTACATATAAGGACGTATTTGAAGAAAAGTTCTTTGGTTTAAAAAATAATTGCAAACGGTTTGCAAATGAGAGCAAACCATTGGTAGCTCTCATTTACTAAGTGCTTCTACAGCCAGATGCTGTTCTAAGCTCTTTACATAGATTATCAGATTTAATTCTCTCCCAAACTCTCTGAGATAAATGTTGCAATTATCATCATTTTACTGGCATGGAAACTGAGGCACACAAATGTTATGTAACATATTGAGAATTACAAAAGGGAGAGGGCATTTATCTGAAGCCACTAGAGAAAGATTCGGGGAGATGCAGAGGAAGAGCAAGGGTGCTTTTAATTGGTTATCTAGAGGAGAAGGGGCAGAATAGCACAGTAGATGAAGGAGTAGCAGGTAGAGCTGGTTTTCTGGGGATTTGAGAAGCAGGTCCAATGAAACCAAGGGATAACA